CAAATCTTTTTCGACAACATCACCTACCTTACCAGTGTAAATTTCAAATTTGTGACAATATCCACTTTGATCTGCCAACATCCAAACCTTATACCCCCGCTTTACAGGTTTTTTAGGCATATATTGTTTTAGCGTCGATCTTCCCTTATACTTGATCATTGATTCATCTATAGAAATATTCTTTGAAAGATGAAAGCATGTCAAGAACCTATCTTGTAAGTGATTTATTAGAGGTCTGACTTTGTAGAGCTTATCAAAGTTTGGAGTATCGCGATGTGGTTGTATGGAATTATCATTCAAGTGTAAGTTGGCCAAAATCCAGCTAAAACGTTTTACTGGCATAAGTGAAGATATAAACGAATCGTGAAGTAATTTGTTGGAAGACCAATAGTCCCTATAACTAGGGAGCCTTTTTACGCCCATTATTAAATTTATGCCAAGAAATGTTTTGATTTCCTTGCTGTCTGTTGGTTTGTATGGCTTTGCTAACTGCTGTGCATATAAGTTTGTTTGAAACACAAGAAAGTCTATAAAATCGTTTTCAAAAAAAAATTGAAATATTGATCCTGGTGAAAGATTAGGATTGTTTCTAATATAGTCAGGCACTCCCGAAGTACTTGTAAAGTCCAAAATACCCGAAAACGCAGGATTATTCTTAGACCAATTTAGTGAATCTAGAAATGTTTTTGCTTGTTGAAATTGTTGCTTTTCGTTGAGTATCCGAGACCGTAATTCTTTTAGTGTAATTGTGTCTTCTTCTAAATCGTCCTCCGAATCGGAAAAAAAAGTAGGTATCGGATCGATAACATTAATATCATCATTCAACTCGTCGGCAATTACATCTTCGTGGACCAGGGAATCGTTATCAGATGGGATACTCTCCACTTCAGAATTTCTATTTTGGTCATCATTGACATCGTCCAAATAGAGATTTTCCATCAACTCAGCTCGAGTCATACCTATTAGTCTAAAAGGCAAGTCGTCCATTTGTATCTACAAACAAATATCATTCAATCACAATATAAAATAAAATAATTTCTATTTGGGCGGTGGTACAAAATATGTACCGCAGAATAAAGTTATATTTATAAATAATTTTAAAAGTAATTTATTGAATATTATTCATATATGTTATCTTTAAATACTAAAAACCACGTACTTACCAATATATTTAAAAACAACAAACTTTTATTCACCAAAAAAGCAATTCAAATCAAAGCGAAAGTAAACAATACTTTTCAACACGCTAGAACTCGAATAACCTGTAAAATTTTCTAAATCGTACTACTCGCGCCATCTCATACTGAAGAGTCAAACTATATGCATCAAATATAGAAGGTGGTTCAGGACTTGGATCACCACACTTTAAATAAAATGAGTTTTGAAAGATAGTCCATATTATAGACCACCACTCACATAGGGTGATTTTTACGGTGGTTTATTTTTTAGACCATTGCCCTCGAAAGAGTTAAAGTGATAAAAGGTAATACACACCAGTTCTTGGAAATATCCCATTAATATAGTTTCACTAAACAGTTGTAACTGAGTTTCCATTTGTCCAAATCTCAAAACATTTATATTCTATATCATAAAGTAATTTAGATTTTTTAGACAGTAATTCTTCATTGGCTTTAGTAGCACCTATTGCTGGAATATTATCCATTCTTCCTCTTCAATATGCCTCCTCAGAATCAAGCATCAAACTATCAAAATCAAGAAATTTGCGGGTGTCATAGATACACCTTGGATACACCGTTTATATATTGAAAAACTGTTTTCATTCTCTCGTTCTCTTTCGTTCTCATTTACGTTTAATTATTAAATTTAAAATAAACATTAAATCAGATGTCTAAGTAAAAAATAAAACCTTGCATGCACCACGGGAGATACTAGGATGATTATACCCTTAGGCCACCTGTCGCCTGCGGTCATAATCATCCCTGTATCTCCCTCGGTACATAAATAACTATTCTCGACTACATATTTTTAAATTGATGTTCAATTGTTTTTCCGATCATCTGCACCTAGCTAGCGTCTCTCATCAGAATATTAGACCTTCTCATGGCCGTTCAATATCAACGTAAAAAAGCTGATTGCTCTCGTCGATGGATAAATCAAGAGATATTTATGTCTGGAGCCTTGAGAGCTGAAAAAAATCTGCACGCACTCGACGCCTACGTTGAAATGTGAAGAACCAATTAAAAAAATGATCTCGATTGTCGGAACTGTAACAATAAACTGGGTTATTTATAGACGCGTCCTGTTGTGGTTGCGGCATTCTTCTGCAGATTGCCGATGTCAATAATCAATCAATTGTTATGTCACTTCTACCAGGTGACAATTCTCAGAAGCGGACGACAAAATTGAATCGGATATAATTATTGTCGGGTCTCATTGTGTTAGTTCTTCTGACGCTGATAATCTTGTATGTTATTTTTGCTAAAGAAAAGACATGCCGTCATCGCTTGAGTATGGTAATATACAGGGTATTTCAGAAATAACTGCTTTAAAGTGTAGATATTGTCATGTGAGGAAATCAACGAAGTTTCGAATGCAGAACCAGAAGTCTAACGCAGAGCCCGAAAGAGCCCAAAACCCAGCTGGAAAATCAACATTTTTAACGATCTTTCGAATCCACAGAGCTGCAGACTATTCCCGATACCCAAAGCCACAGTGAACGATGCCAACAGAACCCGATGCTGTTGGTAAAGTGACCGATGACGATGCGCAATCAGGAAAATATCAATGTTTCGAATTTAAATCAAAATTTTCTGCGATCTTTCAAATTCAACACCCAGCCAGATTCCACGAAGAGCTAAGCAACATGAGAAATCGCCCAAATCCGGGGTGGCCAGATGTCGGCAGCTGATGCGAATATCACAGCAGGATTTGGTGGAGTCATCCCGATGTGTGATTGAACGTCGACTGTAGTATTGTTCGAATAAATGACCAATGCAACGTTCCTGGCCATTACTCAGTACGCTTCGAGGCTTATATGATCATTGTGTCGCATGCACTCATCCGCCGATTTTAAACTTAAAAATTGTTATACATATAAGTGTTCCAAATAAATACATTTTTACAACTCAAAACATTGTTTAAAATCGCTCAAGAATAACGAGAGACGTGTGGCCGATAACAAGGACTAGCCAAATATCAAGGTACCCAAGAAGCTCAAAATCAAGGTGCTCAAGACATTCAAAAGCAAAAACACAGTGACAAAGATACAAGTACAAGTACTCGAACTGCTAAAACAAAAACAGCAGAAAAAGGCTCAGTTGAAAGCCTCAAGTGCTATAATTCACTAGAAAATCACCAACCATTCGAATTTTTCGTAATAACAGGCCTAGTAAGGAGAAACATTGCTCTCCGACATGAAACTCTTTATAGAAAGGGTCAAAATTGGCACTAAAATAGCATGAAATGTGGGAAAAAAATTGACCATCGAATTTTCGAACCCTGCAGCCAAACACTTTGAGGACCGGTCAATGTCCACCAGAGGCAGCCTTCCACGTCTACAGACCACCAGGATGACAGCCACAACAACCGGAGCGAAAATGACACGGTCGTGAAAATTCTTTCCTACCTTCGAATGCAGCGGGCCATATTGAGAATTCAGCGGAGCCACCAAGACCTGCGTATGAACGTCAACTCCTGTACTTGGAAACTAAGTATGGTCGTTTTACGATGACGTACCTATGACTTATGGAGGAATATTTTAACCAATAGGCTACAATATATTCTCAATTTCGTAAAAATACAATGGAAATAAACGAAGTTAAGGAATGTTTACTTTATTTCTGTCAATTATTATTACACCAACTGGGTAGTTAATCAAAAAATATGTTTTTTAGTAAATGAAATGAAAAATTTACAAGATATTAAAATTTTCCTTACAAATTGTAGGTACCTCCTTTTTTGCAATGTGCAACAAACAAAAAGAATCGACGTCAAAAAGAAAAACCAAATGACATCCTCGTAACCTATAATTTATATTATTTATTCATACATTTTCCGTAGCATTCATCACCGCGTCGTTTGCTTGTCTCAAGTGCACATTCCCCATTTTTTTTCTGCTATTATCGACTTCGAAGCTATGCGAACAATGCAACATTCAAAACTGGCAATTAAATCTGCAAACAAATCGAGGATACTGCTCTGACACACCATCAATCAAGGGAAAAAAGTAAGATAGATTACCCAGCTTAATCACAATCAAGCACAGTAATCATCCGGAATCCCAGTCAGTAGCAAGAGAAATACATTACTCGGATAATTGTTTTAAACACAGTGATGTAATAAATTAAATAATGTGGTGGCCAATTACAGATACTTCAGCACTTAACACTCTCTAATGACTAATTTGTCCAATATAAGTGAAGAGAACGCTAAGGTTATAAATATAACGTTACCGTAGATTTAAGTATTTTGATGGATATTTTTTTCAGTGATATAATTGTAAACAATATCATGTTTCTTCTTTTTTTATTTTTATTAAATTCCCAAGTTATTCACTAAGGCAACAGCATTAAGCGCGAGATAATGTTATACAAAAAAAAAGAAACAAACCTCTTTCATTTTAAAGTTTTCCATATGTTGTGATATATGTTACACTCCCTTATTTACTTAGAAATAGATTCCATTGAACTTGTATTATTGTTTAAGGAAATATATTCATTCATAAAGCAAACGATTCACTGAAAAAATGAAAGAAACAAAAATACATTCCACGAATAATTATATGTACATATATAAATCCCTTCAAGTGACAGCAGCTGAAATTACAGTAAATTTCATAAATATCCGGAATTTCGTTAAACAAATGTCGTAATATCAGCCATATGTAAAAAAATCCAATTAAATAACAAACTAATAGAACATTAAACTTTGAATATGCCACGGGTGTTACAGGATAATTATATTATAATGCGCGATATTATTCGTATAGATACCTTGGAAAAAATTGGAAGTTAGAAAAAAGATAGAATTTTTTTTTTCAGATACTTTGGATTCTGGTAACAAACGCGTTCATCGGCTGCCACTCGATATGCTCCTCCCTGTACGGCAGCGAACCCTGCACCTTCTTGCCCGCCCCTCCCGGTAAAACACCACCCTGTGCTCGACCAGGCCTCACCTACTGCGAACATCCCGAGCATTATCCTGGGTAAGTTTTAGTTTTCATAATAGAAAAAAAATCATACATTGTCACCACCAGACACCAGAGCCGCATCACACGATACCGCTGAAGGTCGATGTTGTTGGAAGAGCAATCACAGACGATGTGCGTCAGAAATTCGTCCCAGTTTCGAATTTCGAAATAATAAATTTTCCGAATATTACTAAATTCGAACTGGGGAAGCGCAATGCAAAACCACAATACCACGACAAACTACAAGCCAATCAACTGTTCGAATCGACGACAATCCAAAGATAGGCAAAACTCGAAATGACCAATTGACTGGGATTGAACGTTGACCCGCGTACTTTGCATTACCAAATTTTTACAATTGCAGTTTGCCTCAAATTGCATTTCGCACTATCAAACATTTCTAACTTAACAATTTTAAAAACAATAATGACGACTTCAACTACAGCAGTTTATTTACAATATTGTTTCCCAAATACCTATTACGGCAGTCTACTAATTATTGCTAAACATTTTTAATGGTGTATCGGCCCAGCCACGGCACTCGATTAATACTAGCCGTCAAAGTGACATTTACAAAAAATCGATATAGTTGTACAAAGGTATTCATGAGAAGTTGACCTTTTCCCACGAGAATTTGCACGATTGAAGATAAAACGTTGTAAAATACACGTATAAAAGTCTGTTTATTGCACTTACAATAATGACTTTTTACGTTCATCTAAATAACTATTATGTTGACATGATAACACATCAGGGTGCGTACTTGAACAATTAAATGTAAAGCTATGTGAGCATAAGAGATTGAAACATGCAGTTACGGTTGCTATTAGTTTCAAAACCACTGCTTCTTTCAGATTGAACTCAAGTTAGTTGGAAAGCATTCTGATATATTTTCCAATCTACAAAAGTTGGAAGCGTTGGCAAATTTATCATTTACCGGATTTTTTTCTGTTGCAGTTTGATAAATTAGAGAAAAATTGGCCATAACCTTGGAATATGTGAAACAATGTCTGTCATTGTGTTTGTTGAGAGATATGTATCTTTTTTAATATTGTGTGTAACTTTTCTAACAATAACAACACGACACGAGACCAAAAGGACCTCTACGTAGTAGACCGATCAAAATAACTCATTTAGAGGGAAAAAAAAGAAAATTGTTACCTGGACTTTCATAAGTGGAAATGGTAAAGGGGTTTATAATAAACGAAAAAAAAAATAAATGCGTGAGCAGGGGCGACGGAGGGTTGATTTGGGGGGTTGAAAACTTATGAAAAATTGTATCATTGGGATTTCTAGCGAAAGTTGACGTCAAACAAAAAGTATCTAATACAAAAGTTGTAGATCATGCAAAAATCTACAACTTTTGTAGAGGTCATTTTTTAACATAACTTCAAAATTTCCGAGAAAAATGCAAAAAGTTGTTATTTTCTGATTTTTCATTTTTTATTTCTCATTTCCGCAAAAATAATTTAATTTCGACGAAACTTGGTGAAGTTATACCTTTCTCTGTCTTAAATAACCTCAAATAAATTTTTTTAGATAAAAAAATCAAGAAGTTTCTGATATTCATTTTTTTCAGCCTGAAACACTTTTTTTTTCAAAGAAAAATTCTACTTAAAAAAATCATCGTACAGAGTTCTGCCGGTAATCATTTTTTTCGTATTGATATACTTTTTGGTGAAATAAAATAATTTGTAATCACAGTTCAAAAACGTGCTCAAAAATGCAAAAAAGTAAAAAATGACTTGCAGCAATGAATTTTTCAGTAATTATTGATTGGGTAGTTCCGGAGATATCCGGAAAAACCCGAAATATTGCAAAATTGTTTAATGTTTTCTGGCTTTATTTGAAAACGAATTTACATATTTACAATGCCACTTTTTTCGCTCTATACAAAGGCGTCGACATTTTTGCAATCCGACGTTTCGTCTTCGAGGGGCCATCATCGGGTTAATTTTTTTAAATAAGTCTGCTATTTTTATGATAAAATCTAGTCATTTTGTCATTTTAATTCTGAATTAGAGGATATTACTATTGCAATCACTTAAAAAGTTTTTAGCTTGTTTTAGCTATAATTTAAATTTTTTTCTGAGTACGGCTCTGAACGTTTTCAAAATATCTATTGAATGAAGTCATAATAACATTATACAAGTCAATACCGCACAAAATATCCAATAATTTTTTACTGTTATAATATATTTCATAAATTCGTATTATTTTTTTATTAGTTACAACTTTTTAAATTATGGATTAAAAAAAATTGTTGGATATCCTCCAATAGATACAGGTATTTTGAAAGCGTTCAGAGCAAAGACAAGCAAAATTTTGGGTTTTCGGATTTCGCGTCAATAGTAGACTTTGCAGTTAATACTTTGTATTGCTGAAATCTCAAATCATCCAGAGACAATTTATCATTTGTGCATTTGTAATTCGACTTAGATGTTTATAGCAATACTGAACAAAAATAAAGTTTTGGGTCAAACAATGAGACACAGTTTTTTTTATTTTTTTCTGTAGAATTTAATGGTGTAAACAGTTTTTGCATGTTTTTTAATTTAAATAAATTATCAACAATAACTTTTCACCAAAAAGTATATGTCAAAACGAAAAAAATGATTACCGGCAGAACTCTGTACGATGATTTTTTTAAGTAGAATTTTTCTTTGAAAAAAAAGGCCGAAAAAATGAATATCTCAGAAACTTCTTGATTTTTTATCTAAAAAAATTTGAGGTTATTTAAGACAGAGAAAGGTATATTTTCAGCAAGTTTCGTCAAAATTAAAATATTTTTGCGGAAATGAGAAATAAAAACCGAAAAATCAGAAAAAAACCTGTTTTTCGCATTTTCTAGGAAATTTTGAGGTTAAGTTAAAAAGTGACCTATGCAAAAGTTGTAGATTTTTGTATGATCTACAACTTTTGTATTAGATACTTTTTTGTTTGACGTCAACTTTCGCCAGAAATCCCAAAGATACAATTTTTCATAACTTTTCAACCCCCCAAATCAACCTTGCGCCGCCCCTGCTCACCATTTCCACTTATAAAAGTGCAGGTAACAATTTTTTATCTCCAAGTGTAATTTGGTTGGACTATAGGGTAGCCAGTTGTTCCTACTAATAATTTCTCAATTTCTCTGGGAAAACCCCAAAAATGCTGCCAAAGGTAAATATCTTCCAACAAAATGCAAAATTTTTGTAGNAAAACTTATGAAAAATTGTATCATTGGGATTTCTAGCGAAAGTTGACGTCAAACAAAAAGTATCTAATACAAAAGTTGTAGATCATGCAAAAATCTACAACTTTTGTATAGGTCATTTTTTAACATAACTTCAAAATTTCCGAGAAAAATGCAAAAAATAGTTTTTTTCTGATTTTTCGTTTTTTATTTCTCATTTCCGCAAAAATAATTTAATTTCGACGAAACTTGGTGAAGGTATACCTTTCTCTGTCTTAAATAACCTCAAATTTTTTTAGATAAAAAAATCTAGAAGTTTCTGATATTCATTTTTTTCGGCCTGAAACACTTTTTTTTTCAAAGAAAAAATCTACTTAAAAAAATCATCGTACAGAGTTCTGCCGGTAATAATTTTTTTCGTTTTGACATACTTTTTGGTGAAATAAAATAATTTGTAATCACAGTTCAAAAACATGCTCAAATATGCAAAAAAGTAAAAAATGACTTGCAGCAATGAATTTTTCAGTATTTAAGTCGCTGCTATTTTTATGATAAAATCTAGTCATTTTAATTCTGAATTAGAGGATATTACTATTGCAATCACTTAAAAAGTTTTTAACTTGTTTTAGCTATAATTTAAATTTTTTTCTGAGTACGGCTCTGAACGCTTTCAAAATATCTATTGGATGAAGTCATAACATTATACAAGTTAATACCGCACAAAATATCCAATAATTTTTTACTGTTATAATATATTTCATAAATTGAATGGTGTAATCAGTTTTTGAATGTTTTTTAATTTAAATAAATTATCAACAATAACTGAAAAATTCATTGATGCAAGTGATTTTTTATTTTTTTGCATTTTTGAGCATGTTTTTGAACTGTTATTACAGATTTTTTTATTTCACCAAAAAGTATATGTCAAAACGAAAAAAATGATTACCGGCAGAACTCTGTACGATGATTTTTTTAAGTAGAATTTTTCTTTGAAAAAAAAAGAGTTTCAGGCCGAAAAAATGAACATCTCAGAAACTTCTTGATTTTTTATCTAAAAAAATTTGAGGTTATTTAAGACAGAGAAAGGTATACTTTCAGCAAGTTTCGTCAAAATTAAAATATTTTTGCGGAAATGAGACCTCTACAAAAGTTGTAGATTTTTGCATGATCTACATCTTTTGTAATGGATACTTTTTTGTTTGACGTCAACTTTCGCCAGAAATCCCAATGATACAATTTTTCATAACTTTTCAACCCCCCAAATCAACCTTCCGCCGCCCCTGCTCACGCATTTATTTTTTTAGGTTTATTACAAGCCCTTTTACCATTTCCACTTATAAAAGTCCAGGTAACAATTTTTTTTTCTCCAAGGGTAGGGGATGGACTATAGGGTAGCCTTTTGTTCCTGTTAATAATTTCTCAATTTCTCTGGGAAAACCCCAAAAATGCTGCCAAAGGTAAATATCTTCCAACAAAATGCAAAATTTTTGTAGCAAATATTATGTTATATACAGGGTGATTCAGAACTTATCAAAAAAAAAATCTGGATGTACAGGGGACCCTTACAAATACAATATTTTGTAAAGAAAAAATCAAAAAGGTCAGTTCGAAATTGATTTAAAAATACACTTCTGCACGGCACTGGAAACTGGTCCACTGTAAAACCTGACCTCGCACAATGCGACCGGTATGGCGGCGTGATAAAAACGGACAAAAACTTTCGCAAGGAAAGAAATATGCAAATAGAATTTTATCACACCTATTTTATATGGGCAAATTTAAATGCTTTTGCCTTTATTAATTACTAATAAAATTAATTTGTGTTTTTAAATAATAAAAT